CTCACGCTCTCTTTGCTTTACTGTCACACTACTCGCCCACAGGAAAAATGGTTTTTGAATAGTCGGGTGACAAAAAAGGCAAGGTTATTAAACAAAAACTGTCATCACTCTATCTCCGTACTTGACAATACATTTAAATTCTGAACATCTCCACATTAGCCAATATAACCCATTTCTAAGACCACATCTTACCCACAATAAAAATACATTAACTTCTACCATACTTCCTTGGTGGAAAGGAAGGAAAAGTCTGCTCAGGTTCAAAGGGAAGGAACATAACTCCACATCTTTTTTTTTTAATCCTCATCAGAGGATATTTTTTTCCATTGCTTTTCAGAGAGAGTGGGGGTGGGGGGTGGGGAAGAGGAAACCATCTATGTGAGAGACACATCCATTGGTTGCCTCCTGCACACGCACCAACTGCTGTCGATCGAGTTTGCAGTGGAGGTATGTGCCCTTGGCTGGAATCGAACCCCGAACCCCTCAGTCCATGGGCCAACACTCTAACCACTGAACCAAACCAGCCAGGGCAACTCCACATTTTGATGGGGGTGGTGGCAAGGTTTTGGAAGAATATGTGAGACCTGAAATACTGCTGGGGTAATTTTTGAAAAATACAACTGCTATAGGTTGTCTGTTTGTTTTGTAAAGTAGGGTAGGGTGATTACATAATGGCAGAAGAGAAAATGGAGAACTGGCACAATCCACTGATCATGCAGATGGTCTTTAAAGGCAGATCAGTTTTAACAAAGAATATATATGGGAATTGAGGATCTGGCTCTGGATACCCTTAAAGCTATCTGTGCTTGCATATCCCTTGGAAAGTTGAATACTGTTGTTTGAAGACACAACTATAGATTATTTTTACATTCTTTAATTATATAAGTATTTAAGATGCATACTTAACTATAAATTTTCCTAACATAATTACTTAGCATTTTTATGGGGATAAAAATGTGTATTCTGAAACACTGAAAAAAAATTTTTTTTCATTTAAAAGACTAATCTATTTCTTTCACTCAGCTAAACAAAAATAGGCTAATAATAGAAACAAACCAAAATATCAATGTCAAACATGAACAACTAGAGCAATATATATATAGCAATGAACCTTTTCTGAAGACAAAAAAATGTTTCTTTTAAAAAAATTAGAAAAAGTCAGACCTCTGGAAGTAGATGTTGGTAAGGTGACGGAAAAAAAAATTACATTTAGTTGTTTAACATTACACTTGTAAAGCAGTAAAATAAAATGTACATAAACCATTAGAACAGTTAAAATTTGAAAGTCTTCCAAATATATACTTTATCACAAAATACTTTTTCTTATTTTTGCCAGTAACCCAGTGATTGCTAAGAGTGCTTTAATAATTATTTCTAAAAGCTATTTCCTAAAGATATTTCTTGCCTATGAAGTTCAATAAAAGGTTTAAAAAAGTAATATACTTGCTCTAATTTTCATTATGCATCATGACCTCGAATCATCTGGAAAGACAAGATATTAGGGACTAGACATTTCCTTTAATATATTGGGGAAAAAGTATTTACTATTTTTTAATATGCAGGATATAAGGGCAGAGCAATACCGTAGATAAAATCAGACTATCTGCATTCATTCACCAAGTATTTATTAAGCACCTACTATTTTTCCAGGCATCATTCTAAGAGCTGAGGATATAGGGGTGAATAAGTAGCAGCTACAATTTTTTGAGTGCTTACTATGTGACAGGCTCTGGCCTAAGTTTCACACATGTAAAACCATTTAATCCTCAAATACAACATCTCTGTGACATGGGTACTATTAATTTCTTCCTTTTACATATGAGAAAACTGAGGCATAGATGTTAAATAATTCATCCAGTTAGTAACTGGCAGTAGTAGTCCTGGGTATCTTAATCTAAAATCCTTCCCTTCTCATTTTCTTCTTTGCCTCCGTGAAAATCTAACAAAATGAATTAGGTATGGCTCAAATAGGTGGCGAGACCATTTTATTTTTGGACATTTATTTCTGGGAATGTGTAAACAAAATTTTAACCAGCTGTATTTTCATCTATTGTGACCTCAAAATATTTTAAAAGCCTTGATTTTGTTTAAATAGAAAAAGTATCCCTTCATATTTTTCCCTCCATTACTGTAACATTTCTTCCTGTGGAAAACCACTTCTGTACTCCAGGTAGGCATAGTAGGGCTAAAGATCACAGCACTGTCTCATTGTAGGGGTGGGTCCACTATTCAAACTAATTAGGCCTCACTACCTTGGACAGTTATTAGGTCAGGACTACAGAAACATAATCTAAGTAAGCAAGGCCAATCTGCCTTCCCCGGGATTGACTAAATTGGGAAATGTCCTCTTCACAAAGGAAGCGAATTGAGACCGCTGGTAGCCATCTTTCTTGACCTCAAGAGAAAATAACTCCACAATACTGAGTAATGCAGAGAAATTCAGACACAAAATATTTTGACCTAACTATGTAAGAAATAGGTATGTCCTTGCCCTTTCCAGTTAAGTGAGGATAAAGGGTATAAAAATTCGTTTACTTAAGCTTAAGTGAATTTCTGTGACTTCCAATCAAGTTTCAATGCATTTTAACAAAAGCATTACATAAAATATGCACATAAAACAATGGTTATAATAGGAACAGTACTCTTCTTTATTCTTTCTTTACCACTCTTTCTCTGTGAACAAATATAGAACTGTCTACAGCTCAAAAAGGATGGTTTATTTTATTTTCAAAAGTAGTAGGCAAAATATTTACTTATGAATTCTGATTACAAAGCATTATTTCAATAATTCCATTCCTTTAGGAAAGGGCATAACCACAATATAGATAGAAAGACAAAATGTTTTATTTTAAAACATTGGAAAAACATTAAAAGACAAATGTCCATTATATAACCAAGAATGTTAAATATTTGGAAACTAAATCTTCTAGAATGTGGTAGGCACTTTCAGAGAGCTAAATATTACAAATTATCCTACCATATTTCTTCTCTAATACCAACAATATTTGATATGATGAAAAATACCAAGAAGACCCAACTAATTATTCAAAGTCACCATGTCAGGGTTCAACTTAAGTACACAAGTTAAAGTTCTGTCCAAGATGTTCCTGACACATGAAGCTTCCAGTTGAAAATTTCAGAAATGCTAACAAAAGTATCTTCCTTTTTTGCTTGTGAATGTTTGAGTATTGCTGTACTGTTGGCTTATATCCACTACAGATATTGGTTCTAGGCCAGCCCAAGGGTCTTCAAGCATTGAAGGTTTGAAATAAGTTTCCAATTCATTAGACATTCTTTTTTCTCTACAACGCCCTGATCCAAAAGGTGTAGATGTCCTTGGAGAACCCTTTAGAAAAAAAATCATCAGTTAAAAAACCATTTATTAGAGATAACTGGTACTTTTTCTTTAAAAGCTAGTTGGGGGTCATATTGTTAAAAGTTGTTGTGCTTTGAAGCCAAATACATTCCACTGCAAAGTCCACGCTTTCTTGAATCTAGTGCTTTTGTTTTTAAAATGTAAACTAATTTGGTATTCTGTTATTAATCCCATGCCTACTGTCACCTCAAGTATTTTGGGTTTTCAAACTTTGCGGAACTATCAAATAGTGATGAAATAAGAAATAATTGTATTTCAGTTTTTCCTCAAAATTTCCATATTTTTCTGGAAAAAAAACCTATTTAACCCTATAGCTTCAAAATTTCTAGAACCTTCCCATCTCATTAGCTCTAGACTTAAAGGGCTGGGATGCACCGAATAAATCACAAAAATCCTACACACACCAAAAGTACTCTTTCAACTCCTGTATTCACTCTCACCGAGAGGAATAGGAAACTCCCACTATCACTGCTTTCCCTTGAGAAAACTTGGAGCAGAGGCCAGTGTCGTTCGAAAACAAAGGCGGGAAAGGGAAAAAAAAGTGCAGCAGCCTATAACTCTCTAACCCAGATGAACTCTATCCTGGGAATTCATTCGCTTCTTTTCTCTCGGAGACCTGGGCTCAGAATAAATTCACTGAAACGAATTGGCAAGGCCTCTGACAAAAGAGAATTAGGGAAATTTCCAGCGAATGAGTGGCAGCGTAGTGGCTAAAAGCAGGAGGGCTCTAGAAAGTTAAGGCCACTTTCTCGGGTAATCTAAAGACAGTTAACTTCTCTGAGCCTCAGTTTATTCATCTGCAAAGAGAAGGTAACAAACAATCTCACCTCACAGAGGATTAAAAAATAATCCACATAAAGGGATTATTAGTACCGTGCCTGCCATACAGTAAGAGCGTCGCAAACGCTGGCTATTTATTACCTGGGGGTGGGTCTGCTGCTGCCCTGGGGAGTAGCCGAACTGCTGCTGGGATCCCGCGGGGGACCTGGAGTGGGAGCCAGGATAGCTGCCAGGGGACGGAGACCCGAACCGGCCCCCGGGGAAGCTGCCGCCGTGTCGCGGAGAGGGGCTGCTCCCATAGGGCCTACCCCGGGGCCCGTACGACTGCGTGTGATGTGGACTCCCGTACCCGTCCCTAGGGGAGGGCAGTCGTGGCCCGCCTCCGCCCGGGGTACCCCGGAAGCTGCTCCCGCTACTCCAACCTCCTATACCCTGGCTGGGGTACGGAGGAGTCGGGGGTCGAAAATTCTGTCGGTGCATATCTGGAGATGAAGACCTGACTCCCGCGCCCCCGGAACCGTCCCGACCGAACCGTCTCAGATTACTGGTGGTCCTACACCAAAATAGTTCTCCGCTGCCAGCGCGGCACAACACATTGGTTCCGGCTACACAGAAGTTCCGCTAGCGGCAGGGAAATGAGTTATTTGTGTAAAGAATGAGCGAATTTAAGTGAAGGAGGGAGGAAGAAGAGGATAAAGAAAAGGCGGGACACCCGGCTCGGAAACGTTCTTTACAGTCTGGCTGTCTTTGGTGAGAACGACTGGTTAGACACCTGCCCAGACAAAGACCGGAGACAAGAGAGCTGCGCCCAGCGCGGCCCCGCCTGCGGCCGGGGTGGAGTCTGAGGCGTTCGTGGGCGCCCCCAGCGGCTGCGGGTCGGGCGATCCCTGTGCTCATCTCAGGCTGGGGCAGAGGGTGTTTGAGAGGCGCGCGATGCTGGCTGCGCTGGCACTGGCGAGGGTCGCTGCTCTGCGGAGAACCGGCTTTATCTGTGGCCCAGGCGGCAGAAGGGAGCTGTGGACCGGCCCCCCGCAGTCAGGTACCCTCCAAAACTGCCCTCGCGGCGAAGGGGACGCCGCCGGCGGCGCCCTGCGTGGAGTGCCCGAGCTCTCCGGACGTTCCTGCTGACCCCGCAGGCCCTTTGGCCTTTCCGCGTCCCTGCGCCCGGCTCAAGGCCTCCCGCTGGCTTTGTCTCGCTTTCCGGCCTCCGCGGAGTCTCCCGCCCGGTCGGGGCGCGGGGCTGGGAGCTCGGCGCTGCGCCCGCCCCACCTCGGGTCATACCGGGCGCAATTCTCGCCTCTCGGTTACCCCCACCCTCTCGTCTCCCAAGTTTAAATAACTTTAAAAATGTACACCCGCATTTCAGAAGGGAGTTCAGATTGCATCTTGGCGAGGCTGTGCAAACAAATGCTGGACTTTACTCCCTCTTTTGGATTAGCAGGCTAGGGAGGTGACTAGGAAGCAGCGATACTGATTTTCAAAGAACAAAACTTGGCTAAAGCTTAAAATCTTGATTGTTTCACAGACTTTTAGTTAAAGAAAAATGTGATAATTCAATAATGACACCTAATGTATAGTAAAACACGCCTTTGTACCAGACAGCTGTCCCATATTTTGTTTAGAATTTGAAACTTATATTTACCATAGTTTTGTAGAACTTTTTTTGCTCCTTCAAAATTTGGGGTTACAGTCACTGAATCTTTACACCAGCTTGTAGGAAACAATCTTAAAAGTGTCGGCGGTGGGAATGGCACCAGGTGTTAGACCGTTGGGGTCAGACTGGACCTGGGTTCAGCAACCTTGGTACTTGAGTTCTGGCTAGGAAAGAATTTAGAGCCAAGATTCAAACAAAAGGAAACATTTATTTATTAAATCAGAGAGGTGGCCCTAGAGGGTTTGGCTCAGTGGCTAGAGCATGGGCAGACTGAAGGGTTCCATTTGGGCCAAGGGCATGTATCTCTGCTGCAGGCTGGATCCTGGGCCTGATTGGAGGCACGTGGGGGAGGCAACCAGTTGATGTGTGTGTGTGTCTCTCTCTCCCTTCCACTCTTTCTGAAAAAGCAATGGAGAAAATATATCCTCAGGTGAGGATTAAAAAAAAATCAGAGGTGGAAAAAGTAATTCATAGGAGAAATGGGCTTAAGTTATAGAAGCAAAGGAAGGGCCCTGGGAGTTTAGGAATGAGGAAGGTAAAGGCGGTGCACCTGGGGGTGGCGATGCGGACATGGAGGGGGAAAGGAAAGGCACTGGCCTGCTCCCTCTGTCCTAAGGGGTTTTTTTTGTTTGTTTGTTTTTTGTGCTCACCAGAGGATATTTTTTCCATTGCTTTTCAGAGCGAGCAGTAGGGAGATCACACACACACTCTCTCTCTCTCTTTCTCTCTCTCTCTCTCTCTGATGTGAGAGAGACACTTCCATTGGTTACCTCCTGCACGTGCCCCCAGTCAGGGCCCGGGATCCAGCCTGCAACAGAGGTACATGCCCTTGGCCCAAATCGAACCTCAGACCCTTCAGTCTGCTGGCTGATACTCCAACCGCTGAGCAAAACTGACTAGGGCCCTAAGGGTTTTAAGGAGGAAGATTTTAGGGGAGATCCCAGGGGAAGATCTCAATAGAATATTCAGCAGCTTTACAGGTATGTCCTTTCAGGTGTCAGGTCTCTACTGATTGATTGGTCAGTGTTAGGGCAGGGGGTCATTATTCAATGCAGCTGGTCTGAGGTCAGCTGTAGCATTGCTTGTCTGGTTTTGATGCTTTTCTGGGCCTGGAGCTGAAATACACCTGAGGCCTAGATATTGTCTCTAGGGAGGAAAGGTCAGGGAGTCTAAACCACATGGCCAAGCAATATGCTAGGGGAGGAAAGGTCACCCTGGGAACAAGGTCCCACTCTACAATTGTTTTGCTAGGCACCCAGGGCTTGCACACACCCCCACATACTGTGACCTGTATCTGGCCCATTGTTCTTACTCTGCTCATGTCTATCTAACTGCCTACCACAAAAGAACTTAAACTCATTCAATCTTTGCCTCATGGATAGCAAGTGCTTTTCAGTCTATACACATTCTTGAAACTGCCACTCTTCCTCACTCTGTTTTGTGACATACCTAGCCTAGAGTGTGATGTGGTAATGTAAGAAACATTTAAACCTGTAAAGAATTTTTGAGAGTTTATTTGAGCATAGTACTGGAAGTCCTAGCCACAACAATCAGGCAAGAAGAAGAAATAAAAGGCATCAAAATTGGAAAGGAAGAAGTAAAACTTACTTTTGTAGATGACATGATACTGTATATAGAGAACCCTAAAGGTTCCATCAAAAAGTGACAAGAACTGATAAATGAATTCAGTAAAGTAACAGGATACAAAATAAATATCTAGAAATCAGTTGCATTGTTATACACCAATAATTAACTATCAGAAAGGAAAACTAATAAAACAATCCCATTCACAATTGCTTCAAAAAGAATAAAATACCTAGGAGTAAATTTAACAAAGTATAGAAAAAAACCTGTACTCAGAAAATTACGACACAGGAAAGAAATTGAAGAAGATACAAATAAGTGAAAGCATATACCATGTTCATGGATAGGAAGCATTAACATCATTAAAATGTCATTACTACCAAAAACAATCTATAGATTTAATGCAATTCCTATTAAAATACCTAGAACATATTTCACAGAACTAAAAAAAATTCCAAAAATTTATATGGAGCCACAAAAGACCCGGAACAGCAACAGCAATCTTGAGCAAGAACAATTTGAGGAATCACCCTATCTGATAGCTATACTACAAGGCCATGGTAATCAAAACAGCATGGTATGGGCATAGAAGCAGGCATATAGATAAGTGAAATAGAATAGAGAGCCCAGAAATAAACCCATGCCTTTATGGTCAGTTAATATTTGACCAAAGAGGAAAAAACATACAATGGGGTAAAGAGAGTCTATTCAATAAATGGTTTTGGGAAAATTGGACAGATATGTACGAAACTAGAGCACCGTCTTACACTGAACACAAGAATAAACTCAAAATGGATTAAAGACTTAAATGTTAGACTCAAAACCATAAAAATCCTAGGAGACAACATAGGCAGTAAAATCTCAGACATTCCTTGCAGCAATATTTTTTCTGATATATCTCCTTGGGCAAGGGAAACAGAAGAAAAACAAATGGGACTACATCAAACTAAAAAGTTTTTCTACAGCAGGGAAACCATCAACAAAATGAAAAGACAATCCACTGAATGGGAGAACATATTCACCAATATATCTGATGAGAGGTTAATATCCAAGCTTCACAAAGAACTTATAAAACTCAACACCAAAATATACAAGCAATCTAGTTAAAAAGAATATGAATGACCTGAATAGACAGTTCTCCAAAGAAGACAAGCAGATGGCCAATAGACATATGAAAAGATGTTCAGTGTCACTAATCATTAGAGAAATGTGAATTAAAACCACAACGAGATACCACCTCACACCAGTCAGAATGGCTCTCATCAATAAGTCAACAAACAAATGTTGGCAAAGATATGGAGAGAAGGGAACCTTTGTGCAGTGTTGGTGGGAATGCAAACTGGTACAGCTACTGTGGAAAAGAGAATGGAGTTCCTTCAAAAAATTCAAAATGGAAGTGCCTTATGACCCAGTTATTCCACTTCTGGGAATTTATCTGAAGAATCCCAAAACACCAATTTGAAAGAATATATGTACCTCTACATTCATTGCAGCATTATTTACAATAGCCAAGATTTGAAAGCAGCCCAAGTGTCCATTAGTAGACGAGTGGATAAAAAAACTGTGGTCCATTTACACAATGGAGTACTACTCAGCTGTAAAAAGGAAGAAATTTTTACCCTTTGGGACAGTATGGATGGACCTGGAGAACATTATGCTAAGTGAAATAGGCCAGTCAGAGAAAGACAAGTACCATATGATTTAACTCACGTAGAATTGAATGGATATACTGAACTAACAAGTTGAAATAGAGACAGTCTCATAGCTAGAGAGCAGGCAGACAGCGCTGATGTGGAGCGGGGGTGGGGAGGTTGAGCAAAAAAGAAAAAAGAGAAAGTACTCATGGACACTGACAACAGTGTGGTGATTTCGGAGTGGGAGATGGAGGTGGAAGAGGGTATGGGGGGATAAATGGTGATGGAAAAAATAAAAGAAATTGTTTTTGCCTTAGGTTAATTGCATTCAATTAAAACTATTGATAGAGCACTTAGTATGTATAAAGCTTAGTGATTACCAGTGCAAAGGTACGAAATGGATAGGAGGTAAATACTACATTAATAAGAACCCAAAGCTGAATAAAGTGAATGTCTTAACAACAACAACAAATTTTTGAGTTAAGGTCACAGGAATAATATCCAGTTAGAAAATAAAAATTAAATTCATTGAGAACAGCTAATTTAATGGAGAGCTTGAAGCATGGGTAGGATTTTAGCAAATAATGTTGGGAAAAATTACATAAGTGGGAAGGAAGGAACATAAATTAGAGCCTAGAGGAAAGATAGATACATAGGGTAAATTCTTTTTTTTTTCTTCTTTTTTTTGAATATATTTTTATTGATTTCAGAGAGAGGAAAGGAGAGGGGGAGAGAGAGAGAGAAACATCAACGATGAGAGAGTCATTGATCGAGCCCACAACCCGGGCATGTGCCCTGACCAGGAATCGAACCCCAATCGCCTGGATCCCAGGTTGACGCTCAACCTCTGAGCCACGCCCAGCCAGGCCATAGGGTAAATTCTTGGACAAACATTCCAGTTTTATCATAGCATAGGATCAACTCTGTGGTATGTTGACAATCTCTAGATCTCTTTTGGGATGTCTGATTCTGCTGTTTGCTGTAGTTCAAAAACCATTCCTTGAATGTCCACGAAGTAATAAGCACTTTAAACATTTACAGAGATAAGTGTTGTCTTTTAATACGTGCTCAGAATTCTCATTAGAATCTTNATAGGGGTAAGGGGGGGGATGGGGGAACATCTGTAATACTTTCTACAATAAAAACAAAAAACAAAAAGAAAAAAAACATTTCCTTGAGTGAAGATTATAAAAAAATGTATTGAACCAATTAGTTTCATCATTTTTCTTCATAAGTTGAGCCTGATCTTAGTCATCATGATCTAAACTTTGTAAGCCACCTGACCATAATTTGATTTTGTGATTTAATGTTGTTAGATATGTTGTGAATTACTGATATAATTACCAACCTCTCTCCTTTTTNTCAATAAGTCAACAAACAAATGTTGGCAAAGATATGGAGAGAAGGGAACCTTTGTGCAGTGTTGGTGGGAATGCAAACTGGTACAGCTACTGTGGAAAAGAGAATGGAGTTCCTTCAAAAAATTCAAAATGGAAGTGCCTTATGACCCAGTTATTCCACTTCTGGGAATTTATCTGAAGAATCCCAAAACACCAATTTGAAAGAATATATGTACCTCTACATTCATTGCAGCATTATTTACAATAGCCAAGATTTGAAAGCAGCCCAAGTGTCCATTAGTAGACGAGTGGATAAAAAAACTGTGGTCCATTTACACAATGGAGTACTACTCAGCTGTAAAAAGGAAGAAATTTTTACCCTTTGGGACAGTATGGATGGACCTGGAGAACATTATGCTAAGTGAAATAGGCCAGTCAGAGAAAGACAAGTACCATATGATTTAACTCACGTAGAATTGAATGGATATACTGAACTAACAAGTTGAAATAGAGACAGTCTCATAGCTAGAGAGCAGGCAGACAGCGCTGATGTGGAGCGGGGGTGGGGAGGTTGAGCAAAAAAGAAAAAAGAGAAAGTACTCATGGACACTGACAACAGTGTGGTGATTTCGGAGTGGGAGATGGAGGTGGAAGAGGGTATGGGGGGATAAATGGTGATGGAAAAAATAAAAGAAATTGTTTTTGCCTTAGGTTAATTGCATTCAATTAAAACTATTGATAGAGCACTTAGTATGTATAAAGCTTAGTGATTACCAGTGCAAAGGTACGAAATGGATAGGAGGTAAATACTACATTAATAAGAACCCAAAGCTGAATAAAGTGAATGTCTTAACAACAACAACAAATTTTTGAGTTAAGGTCACAGGAATAATATCCAGTTAGAAAATAAAAATTAAATTCATTGAGAACAGCTAATTTAATGGAGAGCTTGAAGCATGGGTAGGATTTTAGCAAATAATGTTGGGAAAAATTACATAAGTGGGAAGGAAGGAACATAAATTAGAGCCTAGAGGAAAGATAGATACATAGGGTAAATTCTTTTTTTTTTCTTCTTTTTTTTGAATATATTTTTATTGATTTCAGAGAGAGGAAAGGAGAGGGGGAGAGAGAGAGAGAAACATCAACGATGAGAGAGTCATTGATCGAGCCCACAACCCGGGCATGTGCCCTGACCAGGAATCGAACCCCAATCGCCTGGATCCCAGGTTGACGCTCAACCTCTGAGCCACGCCCAGCCAGGCCATAGGGTAAATTCTTGGACAAACATTCCAGTTTTATCATAGCATAGGATCAACTCTGTGGTATGTTGACAATCTCTAGATCTCTTTTGGGATGTCTGATTCTGCTGTTTGCTGTAGTTCAAAAACCATTCCTTGAATGTCCACGAAGTAATAAGCACTTTAAACATTTACAGAGATAAGTGTTGTCTTTTAATACGTGCTCAGAATTCTCATTAGAATCTTGGAGTGAGTCTGCCCAGAAAACTGGAGCATCTTTCTGATGTTGTCTTTGCATAGTTTTCCTTTTCATATCTCCCTTGAAGATGAATGATCCAAAGAATCCAAATGGTGCTTGTGAAAATATGCTCCATCTTAAGGGAAAGTGAAATTCACTTCTGGCTCCAAAAAGCTCTGGAAATGTCAGGATTTCTGTATACAGCAATAGCTGTGATGGACCTACTCTCACAGGCCTCTCTCCCAGGTGACCTAGTGCCACAGGAACCAATGAAGTATATTTTTAAAAAATGTATCCAGTCGTCCTAAGTGGCTCAGTTGACTGGAGTATTGTCTGGTACACCAAAAAGGTTGTGGGTTCGATTCCTGGTTAGGGCACAAACCTAGGTTGCAG